TTTCTAAATGCAAGAACAAAACTTTAGTTAGATGTTTTTTAAAGTAGATAATTTTAATAATTAATTTCAACTTAAATAAATTTGAATAGTGTACTATTTATAAGATATTTATATTATCAAAAAAACTAAATAATTTAAGATTCTATTATTTGTGAATTAATATTTATCTTAATTCATCACATTTACAAATATTTAATAGCTTAGTCTAAATTCATATTCCTAATAAACATCAAAAGGAACTTGATGTCAAAATTTTAAAATACATTTTTATTAATTATAAAAATTTAATAGTATTAAGAATTATTGCATGTATAAACTTGTCTAATATTTCATCTTTTTAAGTCATGATGTTAACTTTTATGAAAAAATATATTCCAAAGTAGTTCTTTTATCTTAAACTAAAACATTTTCATATTTAAAAGAATTTTATATTGATTCTAATCCATCTATTCTAAATCTCATTTCTTATGGAAAAGTTAATTTGTCCAATTTAAATATTTTGGTCCAATTTTCAACACTTAAGTATCATCAGATTACTATTAGTTCTAAATCTACTACTTCTTCTCAACAATAAGTGATCAAAGTTTCAATACCAATATAATCACCTTGTCTTTAAGCACATTATTGCCAAACCCAAATTACTTCTTGATTTAGTTCTTTATAAGCAAAAACCTTTCAATTGAATTTTCTTTTAAGAACTACTCAGCATCAAAATTATAGAATTTGGCAATGAACATAAGTCTACGATTCAAATCTAAATAAATGATATTTCTAGAAGACTTAATTTTTTTTTTTTAGAAATCAGTATTGAACAAAGAAAATTATTATTTTATTAATGATATAATCTAACAGCTAATTAACTTTTATCTAATAGATCAATAAGTTATTCAAAATGAATCTTGTAAGAAAGATTCAACTTTAGAAATTCACTAACTTATTACAAAGGAAGAGTTTTTTCTTATAGCTTCTTATAAAAAGAAAGAATTCATTACTTATATACTTACTTCTTAATAATCAAATCAAATTCTTTCCATATCTTTTTATCACTAAGAATTCTATATAATTAATTTATTTACAAAATATATATAATAATATTCTCTTTAAATAGTATCTTATATAAAGAAATCTATATCATTGAAATTGATGGATATACCAAGCTAAAAACTAGACATCAAGTTTGCAATTAATTAAAATCTTTCTATGGCCTAAAAAAAGCATTAGAAAGCCCAAAATCTTTGATTTCAAATCAAATTCTTAATAATGTTTGTTAATCTAGAAATTTTATGAATAGAAGTTATATTTGAATATTTATATGAAACAATCATAAAATTCTAAGTTTATTCTTAGTCTATAAATTTATAATCTTATTATAATCTTTGACAACTTTAATTCTTATATTAGACCAAAGCACTATTATTTTATCAACATTTAATAATTGATAAATAAAAAATAAATATTTTTTTATAATCTAAATCTAAATTGATTTATCAAATATATCAATGATATTATTATAAGATAAGTATATTATTATTTTATTAATTAAATTTATTATAATTATTCAAGCTATATTATTATTATTCTAACATTTGTCATTTAGTATTTGTATCATCAAAGTGATGAATTTTCTTCTTAAAGCATGCAACTTATGAGCTAAATAATACATGAATAAGTTATTGAAAGCTTAAAATATTTTCTTCTTTGTACATGTTAAAAATTAGCATTTAAAGCTAATCATTTACTACACTTTAGAAAAAAATCTAGCTGCAATACATTAGCTTGGATTTCAATAAAAATTTGATATTTGCATAGAATTGCTCACCTAAGACTTTTTTATTCTAATCTTACATTTAATCATATGTATTTTTATTAGTTATGTCAATAGATTAATATAAACTGACTATGTGATGTTAACACTTATAAGACTATTTCAATATATTGTAGCTCTATCTTAAAAAATGTTAAAAATATTACATATATTATAGCTACTAATGAATTATAGATTTAGATTATTTATAGGAAGTTGTTAAAGCCACACTCCAATGTTGTTAAAATCACATCCCACATTACCATTTCATGATTGATTCCATCTATTTCCATCTCCATCTTTTATTTCATGTTCCTTGTCTTGCGATTCCAACCTTCGTCCCTTCTTTCTTATCCTAGTCTCTTATTCCATGTCCTCCAAAATAAATCATCAAATGGTTTAAGAGATGTGGCTTTAACAATATTGAGGTGTGACTTTAACAACTCCATATTTATATTGAATTGTTTATTACCTAGTGTTTTATATTTGAATAAGTAATTTTCTATTTTATTCAATAAAAATACTAAACATTATAATAGATTAGAGAATATTGATATTTGATTTCACATCTTACATGAAAAAGTAGAATCTAAAATACTTAAATTTGAATTTTTTCTAATAACAACCATGTGTGCAAACATTTTAACTGAATCATTTTATAGAATAAAATATTAAACTTGTCTCAAAAGAATTAATACTGCAACTTGTTAATATTTGCAATATGAAAGCATACCATGAAGCATTTTTTTTAAAGCTTACACTCATTATTACATTAAATTTACTACTTTAAATCTAAAGTTATACAATTGTAAGTTAGCTATGTACCTAAAGAAGGTATGTTAATATAATAAAAACTAGTTACATTATAACTATATTTATCTATTTGTAAAGTTATCATACTATTGTATAAATTTAAGAAATATTATCACATTACTATAAGATAACTATATTCTTTTGTAATATCAATAATATTAAAATATATATTTATGAATTTTACATCGTTTTTACAATAAAAGGTATTTTTTAATAATATTCTAATTGTTAATTTTAAAAATACTCTCTTTATTTTAAATCAATGATATTTTATTTATTTAAAGTATGTATATATGTGTATCAAAAAAAAGTATTAGAAAATGGCATAGGTTTATCTACTAATATTTTATTCTATTATAATTAATTTTGTAGCTATTTTCTTTTTAAATATTTTACTTGAGTTTTTAGAACTATAAAAAGATAGTAGTAGTCTTGCATCTTGTAATATCCTCACTTTAGCTTTGTCACTTTTTTCTTATATATCATGGATTGCTACTAGTCTTCTTTAAAATATTCTTATAATTAGACTAAAAAGAACTCAAGTGTAAACTATACATTAAATATTTTCTACATTATTCTTTTTGTATTTATTTCAGTTTAAAATTTAATCATTATTACTCAATTGATATTTCTTTAGTATCAACAACAATATAGTTTTTTTTTTTTTTTTTTTTTAATTGTAAAAACTTCATGAAATAAATTTAAAAATTCATAATCTATAATAATGAATAATATTAATAATAATGATAATATGCTATAATGACTTAAAATCATACAAAAGATTTTATAAAAAGATGATTTAAATAAACCAACCAAATAATTATAACAAATTATATGCAAAATCAGTTGGATGTAATGGAATGATATTTTTTAATAAAAAAGAACAAAAAATATATGTATATAAATTTATATGTATATGAATATAATGTGTCTATAGATAGACACTGACCCATAGAACTCTGTTTTTTAAAAGTTTAAGTTTGTTTTTTTTATTAAGAATATGTGTATATGTATGTATATGTTCACATACAAACATGTACATGCATATTCAAAAAGATGAGTTTAATAGCTAGGGATTGCAAGATATCAAAGAAACTATTATCATTTGACGAAGAGAAGGAAAAAGTTGCAAAACCTTATTTTGCATTACAAACAAGCTTCTTGTGAAGTCTCACAAGGCATTACAGTTTTCCCAGACATCTCTTTGTACTACAATTTTCTTGCAACGGGAATTTTCATTGTGGATTATTGATTCTAATCTAGATGTTTCCCTGGAGAAAACCCACTTTATTTGCCTATAGATAGACACTGACCCATAGAACTCTGATTCCTGTAGCAATAGAGGTATAGTATATTGAGATTGAGATTCATCCACGGTTTTTGAAGACCTTATTCAGTTTTTTGTCATATAATTTTGTTGTTGAGTTCTTCGGGTTTCCAGGTTCTTCTGGCACTTCCAAGTATTAGGGTGGGAATGGGATTGTTGTCAGCAAGTAATCG